ATATTATGACTCCTCTAGTATCACTAGAAATATCAGCTCTTCTTTTCTGCAACAACGAGGAAAGACCAATTCATGTTAAAGCAGAACAGACCGTCTGCCGGATCACTTACTATGTAAAAAGGACCTAAAACGCTAGATAAGTGTAACGTTAAAAAGCTAATTTCATAAGCCGAATCCAGTCAGTCCATTTCAAAACTTTTTAGAACTTACTGATGTTGACATAATTTTTGGTGCGTATGGATGCCACGATACATCTCGTACACAGTCCCGATGCCCCATTAGGATCCGCCTGGGCTCGCCCGTTAGAACGTCATAGACGTAAACCCTTCCGGAAGCACAACCTGTATAGATATAGCGCTGGCCTGTGGTAAATATTGGCGAAAAGCGACACCGAATAAGTGTCTGCAGAACTGTATGACCCCTAAAGCAAAACACATACAAATAAGACAGTTCTGATAAATACTTAATCCATTGTATACATCTAAGTTTCTATATATCGCTGATCTCAACAACGTGCTCTGTTTGAGCCCGATCCCCCACAAAATCATGAAACGAAAATACACAAATAAATAAAAACAAACAAATGTGGAAAATTGAACACAAAAGAATTTTTGTTCTGTTTCCTCGTCAGTATGATGGTAACATATTTTAAACTAATACCTGTAAAACTGATTCGACAAACGTATCGCAGCTAATTTGAAACCGCTAAATACTAGCTAGCTATAATACAAATAAACGCTGTAATAGTTCTTTCATCTCGCACAAAGTTTGTATTTACAAGTTCACAAAATGAGAAAACGGTAATGCGATTGTAGTCAGTTGCCTTTCTCGAGTGCTGAAATCAGAGGGTCACTGTTCATAAAGTCCGCAAATTTTCTCGACCAATACAGACCTGTAAGTCATCACACTAACATCCCCTGGGAGCGGTGTCCATGTGGCAATTCGCTGCGATTTTCGGACGGGTTGCCAACGATAGTCCCATCGTTGATCGCCTACTGCTGCCAGAGTGGCTTCGATGCCTTCATGATCAGCAAAACGGCGCACGTCCCATAGCTTTATGCTCTGGTCCTTTGAGTTTGAAAGAAGGTAACGGCCGTCGCCCTTTGAATCTACAAAGGTTACTCCGTTGCGGTGGCCAGCGAGTACGCCGACGGGACGAGCGTTAGCCTCATTAAGAACACGTCTGTCCCACACTTTTACAAGCCCGTCATCGCCACCTTTACACAGAAGGGCGCGAGTAAGAACTTGTATTTTCACCAATAAAAGACCCCCCATTTTTAAACAGCTCGGTTTTTACAAGAAGTAAACGCATGTAGCAGGTGTCACAAAATGGGTTGGTCACTAACAGTAATTAAAGAGAAAGTGAGTGCATATTTTTGTCTTGTCATACTGTACCCCGTAAGAACTTATAAAGATACTAAACAAAAGAGAAACCTGTAAAAAGGATGTGCGAACTTCGGTCGGCGAAACACACAGCGTTCACTTCGTCATTATGGGCCGGAATTAGCAACGTCCGTTTTTGGGCTGAGAGACTATAGACGTATAGCGATGTGTCAGAAGCTCTAAATACACATTCGAAAAAAGGACAGAGACCGAAACTCACGTTAGGAATAGCCGCACCTATAGAGATTCTATAAGCGCTATTCTTAACACTCTAACCTCTTTGATAGTATATATGTCATATATACTCGTTCGATCGGTTCTCTGCAAGGATAGATTTTTACCTCTAAAGAGCTCTCTACAGGTAGGTAAGGAACTCCGTTCAATTCACACACTATACGCTAGTTGAACGTACCAGTCTACAATATTTTGTTGTCATTGACACCATAACTATACAAAGTAAAAGCAGTTTATCTCCATATCATTCTTTTAAGAATCAAGTCACTGAATGTTCTCCTTATCGAGTGACTCACTGTAGCTTAGAGGAAGCGGTTTATGACCTGCTAGTGAACTGATTTAAGTTATACCTTGCAATGAACTCAAGTCGACGATTATACTAACCCGCAAAGAATTTCTTCTCCGTTTGCGGAGAATTTCAGAGAGAATACGCAGAAGCGATTCTCTAACGGGTTGAGCTCTAGCGTGACACTTTCCTCACTTTGTCCATCAATTTGGCACAAGTGGACTGAGAAGCAGAAAGAAAGGAACCCAAACACAAGTGACGTAAAATAGGTGTTTTTTTGATGAAAAATATTCTTAAATATATAAGAATATTAAGTTACCCGCTGCTTACATACGATCAAGCAGTACTACTGATTAATTTCATGTTTAGCTTTACTTTTTTTTTAGAAGGTACATTGCCAATAAAACTGCACTTTTATGGAGTTAAATATATTTTTAGTTATATGCATACTTTCAAACATATCGAAAAACTTTATGGTAAATCTTTTATCGTAAATGAAAAAAATAAAACTGTAAATTACAGTGTCAATTAGCCGCAGTATTGGAATAAGGCGGTTTCAGTAGGGCAGTGATGACACTCACGATTTTCTGACCAGGAGGAATAGACGAAAAGACGGCCATCCGGCGAAACGGATGTATCAAGGATACTCCAGCCAACATCCGTCGCGTGGATCGACTTTCTCCAGATCGGACGGTTACCAGTTGTATCATAGATCCTAAAATAGTAACATAATTATTATAAGTGTTCTATACAAGCGTATCTCTTAATATTCGCAGTATGTTACTACTGTTTCTTACTATCTATTGAACGGCGTAACACTAGGACCAAGTGGCGCAGTGTAATGTAACTTTCAATGTGAGTGTTTTACTAAATATTTTGCAGAAAATTGGTTTATAGTATGATTACACAAGTGGGCAGTACGTACCTGACGACGCAGTCCTGAGAGGTTGTAATGAACATGTTTCCATCTTTTTCGAAGGTCCCGCAGAACACCTTGTCACGATACCTGATACTGTTTTCATGTTGATGCTCATTTGGTATTACATGGCAGCCCAAATAGCAACGATCACCCAAGCTCACGCGGGTGGATGTGGCCAACTGTACCAAACAATGTACAACAAATTAACAATATCTTTTAGATGAGTGAGCTAACGGAAGAGTTTGTGTCGCAAGCGCTGAACTGAAGGACGCGTCAAGTTCAAACGCAAAAACACACTGTGAAGTAATGTTTTCCGTTATCTTCAGTTTTATATACTGTATTCAGTTCTAGATCAGCTTAACGTGGCGCGCGTATTTCATCTTAAGTAGTGTTTGTCTAGGACAACAGGCCCTTGCAAATCATTAAATTATTGGAACCTATGCTTGTGCTCGGGTTTGTTCCAAGTTCAAGGTAGATTATATCGTAAACGACACCGCCCAAAAACCAACTACACAATAAAAAAAGGACGGAATGGTTTTGTTATTTGGATTTCGAGCTTTGTGATTATTATATGAAAGATGCAAACCTCATCGATGGTACGTATCAAATTGGGTCGATGTTTGCGTTTAAGTGCGCCACTCTGCTGTCCAATGATATAATAGATGTCATTCTTCTTGAAGGTCGCCGTATCTGGTTTGTAAGTAGGATCTACACAAGAACAAATAATAAATCTCGATTTACTCGCTTACTGTGCGCAGATACGTACTAAAATCATGCATTGCTCAGTTCAGGGTGCTTGCTCATAATCACTATGTAAATTTCATATTGCAAAGATAAAGTACATTAGTTGTAATAATAATGATAACAAAAACCTACTAAGTCTATTCTTAAGTATTTCGTTAAACAAAATCAATTCAACGAAGAGCAACATATATTCTTAGTAAGGTTTAGTATTATTGTGGCTAAGTATCCACACCAATCTGGCTTATGTAAAGGCTCAAACTTCTCAGTTGCTATAGGATCAGTTTTTGGTAAATCATTGGCAGGACGAGTAATTAAATTTACGCTGGTCAAACGTGACCATGCTGAGAATTCAAAATGTAAGAAAAAATACTGGGCTTGAGCGAGGGGATCTAACAATAGAGCTCATATGTGTTATTTTCCCTTTTTGGAAGAGTTTGGTAACGCGTACATCTAACCCTTCTTCAAAAAAAGCAAATAGCGACTAATGGTGTCGTATGTAAGACTCGTGTATTTAGAAAACCAAGGTTTACAAAACCTGGGATTTCCTGATTTAGCCAAGAGTCGCGCATGTTTGAAAACTTATTCTACCCATTGACTTATACGCAATTATATATTCGCATTACACTAATCTAATAAACCTCTCGGTTATTCCATAGGTGACAAAGTTTAATCATGCAGAATTTCAACGATTTTCTCGTTTTTTCTTGTCATTTCATCGAGCTATTCGCCTAACTTATATAATACATGTATTTCATTCTAAATGTAATGATTGCTCCAATTACTGATTCTACCTACGGCTTTCGTGCACTGGTGTATTTGCGTGCGATCGTCAAAAGATGGATTGCAATCATCGGTGTATTCTATTGTATCTTACAATGTACCTCTTTTAGAAGGGCTATAGAATTTAACAGGGGACACGGGTTTAACTGGAGAAGTGGTAGGGCTGGTTTGAACAGGACTACGTGTCCACATCGTGCTTGTTCGGATTGGTCTCGTTTCTCCGATAGTCTTTGCTTGGTGCTTGATTTCTTGCGCCTGTTTTCCGGTTAGCTACGCATTGCAACAGTATCAGAAATCAAAGCTAGGCTGACGTTCACAGCGCAGTCGAACAAGCGATACATGATATGCTCAAAACTATGAGATCGCCTTTTTCCGCATTTCTTATAGCTCCGACAAACCCTCCCCAGAAGGAGTATGTTAGTGAAGGAGAGAGCAGCTTTTAACGAGTACCCGTTGTCCTATTTGGCTGTAGCACATGCTCTAGTATGCAACGGATGTGGAAGGTTAACATAGTATGTAGAATAATCGCCTCTTTTTTTCATGTAGTTGTAATTCCTGTTGTGCTTTTTGGAGATTAGCGCAGTCAATTAAACTATTGCTGCATTGCTTTGAATGGAGATACTCCTAGGCTCTGTTTCGCAGTCGAATTACTAGCAGCAATTTTGTACACACGCTTAGCTATAGCTACCTGCGGCAGTAATGCTGTCCTCTCTATTGGAACTTTCGGATTGCTGGAGAATTCCCGACAACCTGCAACGAACCAACACGAAATTGGACATACGGGTAATCAATGCACATTAACTCAGGAAAAAATGCCGCGGATAGTTTCAATTAGAGTGAGAGGACTCGATGCGGCTTGAAGAGCAATTAAGCACTCGCTAATTTAGTACAAACGTGTTTATCTTTAAATATATTAGATATTTTGCGATAATAACATATTCTATATTTTTTCGCATGGGCTGTATTATATGATAAATATCTACATGTGATGGAGCTTAACTCAGCCTCTCCAAACCTCATCAATAAAAAGACAAATGACTGCGCCAATTGCGTCTATTTACATATCTGTGTAGCAGCTGTAAATATACACAGTTGACAACAACAGTCCGCTTATAGTATGATCTTGTACAAATGTTATTACTAATATCAGTCTTAAGACTGATATTAGTCTGATTGATTAGATTAGACTGATATTAATGGTTCAAGATTATGATACGATATAAGTCCACGTATCTATGCTTCTACGTATAGATGACCATGTTAGCGGGTAAGTAAGTAAAGCAATGAAATCATATGTTTTAGAGTCTTAGCTAAACTGAATATTTGCAGACATTTTAGAATTGAGCAGTACATGAAATGCTGTTCTAGTTAGTTGTACTACTATATTAGTCCAACAGGCATTACCCTGATGTCCGTTAACAACTATGAATGAATCCCAGTGTATCTTAAATCGAAACAACCTATAGATACTGTTTAAATGTGCCTGTTGTTTTGTAGGACCTTATCGATTACTAACAAGTGAAGTCAGTGTCTCGTATAGCATCATTACAGAGCGAAAAAAGCGCAATGCAGTCGTAAGAAATATCGGTTGAAAGAAGGTCCGCCAATCCGTGAGGGTAATTAACTTCGTTACGATCATATTGATAAAACACAACGTATTTGGCCTAATAACAACTATTGTATGAACAGGCTCTTTTCTATCAATTTTATAATGCTCCAAACGTATGATCACATTCGACCTGTTGCTAGAATGTTAATGTGTGTTACCCTGAAAACAAACAACCGAATTAGTACTGTCGTTATCTAGCGCATTGGCAAACCACGCGATTTTAAAAATGATCAGGAATCAATACATCAGTACACAGTAAGGTAGACAGCAGACAGATAAGGAAAATCGGCGTAGGCCGCGAGTGTTATTAACCTTCACTCCTTTTCTTCAGGTTAAACTGGTCATCGTGGAGACGGTAACAATACCGTATAACAGTTTTAGATGTTGGGCTGCTGAAATGGCCCATAAAATGCAGAGCATCCCTTTAAGTATCTCATTGAATATATAATGCAATCGCATCCAGTATTAACAGAAGTTAAACTCCATGGGCCAATTAGGAATCTCACAGTATGACAACGCTAACCACGTCGAGAAAATCTACGATGACATATATACATTGATTTCAGATAAGAGATTACTGGTTGATCCCGTGATTGCCATGAATTTTTGCTCCACTCTATATCTATTTGTTTGATATGGTTTTTCCTTTTTTTTTTCATTAAGGAGACATTAAAATATGGAGTTTATTGATGCGCGCGAACACTCCAGTAGTTACGGTGATCTTCGGAAGAGATGCAGATATTTATCAGGAAAAGGTTAGCTCTAGTTACAAAGTAATGATCTACTTTGCAGAGTAACTACAATAATAATTAGCACATTCATGTTGCAAAGGGCTGAAAGCTATTCTAGTAATAAACTACTGCCGATCAATTTGACTGCTTGCAAGATTTTCTCCACGTGTTGTGGGTTTCTTGCCTCATTTTTGTGTAGCTCAGCCTGCATACGCTGTTATCAATAAGATACAGCGGTCCTGACTGTTCAGGCCCATCTTATTGGAGCATGATTTGGATATGACAACTTCCTACTAGCTAATTGCCCAGTTCCTGTCAATGCGTGTTTGATATTACGCGATCATCATAAGAGAAAAACGCAGTCATCGCTATACATGTAGTATAGCTTCTCAAATACTTCTAATTTAAAAGAAACCTTCACGTGCACACTCGACAATATCAGCTTCCGACTTACCCAACAGTGCACTGCCTTTTGTCGTATATATAATCAACATTATTTACAAAATTGGGTGCTTTGATATACTTTCTTTCCT